CTAATCTTCATGATTTCTTCCCGTCTTTGGGCTCTGGGTTTGGTTTGCTCTTCCTTTTCTAGTTGTTGAAGGTGCAGCATTAGGGTGTTTATTTGTTCCTGTTCTGTTTTCCTAATGTGCGAGTTCACAGCTATGAATTTCCCTCTGAGAACTGCTTTCATCGTATCCCATAAATTACGATAAGTTGTGCTTGAATTTTCATTGAAGTATAGATATTGTTGAATTTCTTGTTTCATTTATCTATGACTCATTGGTTGCTGAGTAGGGTGTCATTTAATTTTTATGTATTTAAGGGTTTTTTCCCCCTGGTTTCTTTTGTCATTTATTTCCATGTCATTGCACTGTGGTCAGATAATGTACATGGGATAATTTCTGTTTTCTTACATATACTTAAGCATGACCTATGGACCCATATGTGGTCTATTTTAGAAAATGACCCATGTGCAGCTGAGAAAAATGTGTATTTAGCTGTGCTTGGGTGGAACATTCTGTATATGGCCACCAAGTCCATTTGTTTCAAGCTCTGGTTCAGTTCTGTTATTTCTTTGCTAAATTTTTGTCTGGTTGATCTATCTTTTGGGGATAAGGGGGTGTTAAGATCTCCTGTTATGATTGTGGTATTGGATATTAGATTTTTCATGTCCATTAAGATTTGCTTTATATAGTTGGGTGTTCACATGTTTGGTGCATACATATTTATGAGTGTTACCTTTTCCTCTTGAATTTTTCCCCTAACCAGTATATAGTGGCCTTCTCATTTTGCTTGATCATTGTTGGCTTGAAGTGGAGACTGTCTGAGAATAGGATTGCTACCCCTGTTTTTTTCTGAGGTGCTGGGGCATGTAGTATTGTGTTCCATCCTTTAACTTTGAGCCTATGAATGTCTTTATGAGTTAAATCTGTTTTTTGAATACAGCATATTGTTGGATTTTGTTTCTTAATCCACTGTCCCAGTCTATTTCTCTTAATTGGTTTATTTAGTCCATGTATATTGATGGTTAGAATTGAGGTATATTGACTTAGGCTTGACATGTTATTTACCTGTTGTCATTAATCCTTTTTCTCCTGTGTTTAATTGTTTGCCTTATTTAGTTGGTTGCTTCTGATCTGAGTCGTGGATTTCTGATCATTTTGGTCCCTCTCTAGAACATCTTTTAGTAGCCTGTGTAAGGTTGGCTTTGTCATCGCAAAATTCTTTAGCTGTTCTTTGTCATGGAAGTATTTCACTTCTCCATCAAACTTGAAAGAGAGTTTTGCAGGGTGTAGTAGTCTGGGCTGGAATT